TATCCCTACCTTCCATAGCCCAAAGGGAGGAAAAAAAGCTTATTGTCTCTTCCATTTGTAAACTCCAACTATTGCAATAAATAAAAATACCTGGCTCCTCACAAACAAGAACAGCCTCTGCAAATCACTGAAAAATCAGGATTTCTTTATAATAAGGTCTTGGGGACAATATTATGAAAGGGTCAGAACTACAAGCTTTCCCCATAAACACGTTAAATTATAGAAATAAAACTACATGTAAGTGAAGAAGAAAAATCTTAACTGGGCTAAAGGTTGCACTTGATTTGGGTAGGTAACAGAAAAAAAGCACCAAAAACGCACAAACTTAATAAGCAAGACAAAAACTTTGTAAAGGCTGTGATTAAAGTCAAGCATTCCCAGAGACTTAATAAAGTGTTCGTCTCTGCAGTGCCTGAGTGCTCTACAAATAAAGAGGGTTTTCATGGCATTTCAGGGATATTCAGCTTCCTGCAGTGCTATTCTTGTTTTACAAGCAGGGAGCCCTAGCACATGCACATTAAATATACGAGAATCCAGTCTGAGAGGCCCAAAACCTGACTACATATATACACATGTGCTTCAAATATAAAGCTTGTGTTCAGCAAATAGAGAAGGTCACAGGTTGTGTCATGTATTTTGGAAGCGTTAAAAAACATAAGAAAAGGGAACCCAAATTTAACACAAAGCAACCACATTTCTTCATAGATTTGTAATGTCTGAAGCTTAAACTGAAATTACCTAGAAAACTGTATCTGTTCGTATATGTGTATATGCATATAAATTCTAATACTGATACATGCTACGAAAAACATTGGCTCAGTTCTGTAAAGGTTAGTGGGATTAAGAGAAAGAAAAGGACACTAACAGGAAGGATCAAAATTTTAATCTACATAGGATCGGTAATGCTAAAGCAATTTGGTGAAAGAATACACATTAACTCTTCGTTCTGGCATTTCTGATTTCAACACCAATGGATGAAAAAGCAAAAAGATAGCTATTGAGCAAAGAGCCACTGTGGAAATGTAGAGGCAGCAACGAAGCTTTGACTTAGCAGAAAATATTTTCTGTTGAAAAATCATTCCACAAAAGAAAAAAAATAAAGTATCTGATTTAAGAAGACTATTTTCCTTCAAGGAAACCAACACTGAGAAACACTGAAAGTCTTCATTCCAGGTTAGATTGCCTTTGTTACAAACAAAAAAAAATACTATGAGCATTTTGTTAAATATGAAAACCATTAAAAGGCTTTCACCTCTCCAGCGTCTCCTCCCAGCACTCACGGCTCTGACAAGGCTCCCTGAAGGAGACCAAGAACGCAATGTGTTTGCTATAATGCATTCTTCTGCATATACCTTAGCAGCTATTACTGAAGACATCCATAGTACCAGGGCCAGTACAGCACTCAAGATCAGTAAGAAAATGCAATTTCTGTTGAAATGTGCATTAAAAAAAAAAAATCCATTTGAGGACTGTCAAACATTTTAAAATGGAAACAGATGTTCAAATGTGAGATTTTCCTTTGCTCTGAGTAGAAGTGCAGAAGGCAGCATCCAGGCTCCATTTACCCAACAGCCTAGCTGAAGCTCCTGCACTACAAACACTCTATTTTCAAGGTTACGCAAGGCTCCAAATTGCTGCGGAGCAACCGCCCACAACTTTAACCCCTAAAAACTCTTGGGGGTATTTATTCAATAAGCCATTGGCAAGATCTACAGAAGCAACCTTTGTTTCTATGTGCTTGCAGCACTGGTTGTGGCCGGGACTTGGTTCAGGCGCGGATGGAAATCCCTTATTGCGGGCTAAGGGCTTCCCTACAGAATTCCCAAGTCTGTATGTAGGCGATCTGCTCAAAGCATGATACCCTGAAATGAGCTGCAGAGTATTATCGTCTTCAGTAAGGAGCCCAGTAATGACCTTATATTACTGGTTCTGCTGGAGTGCCCACATACTGTTGGGTTTAGCATCGCACTGGCATTTCCTGGAGAGCCAGCAAGCTTTCAGTCCCTGCAAACGCTGGAGCCTGCGCGATACGGGACTGCGCACACAATTACGGGAGACATAGACTCACTAACCTTGCATTTCGCAGTCACCCTTCAGCAAGCAGAAGGCAAACATGGATTTCAAAGCCTATAAGCTGAAAGCCACCATCTCAACATAACAAAATCACTGCATTTCTTATGACCTCAATCAGGATGCTTCCCTCGCTCCCCTCACTGCCCAGCCATTGCCAGGGCAGCAGCCTGCTGCAGGCTCTGCTCAGACAGGCTCTGCTCAGTGCTCTCCCACCGGCGGCTTGTGAAGCGCTTCTGGGGAACTTCACTTCTTGAAGAGATGACAACACACTTGCATCTCTATCTCCTGATCCCTCCCTCACAGGAGGCTGGATGAAAGGCTTGTTCTCCAAGGTTTCCTGGGAAAATCTTCTCAAACACACCAATAAGAAGACACCCTTTGCAAGGAACCACTGTCGGAGATGCTCTTGAGAGCCAAGAATGCCAAACTGCAAGAACATAGCTTGAAACATTTTTAAAACCGCTTTAATAGCATCGATAATAGTAAAAGCACTGAACTTCATGTACCAAAGGGCTACAGCTTTCATCTAACGGGTGCCACCAAGGGGTCCTGCAGGTGCTCCCTCACCCCACATCCAGTGGCCACCGACCACACGGGGATGTGCGGGACACACAAATGCCATACAGGCACACCTGACTGGGGACCAAACCAGCCACAACTTCATCCACACGGCAGAGAGAACAATGCAGGAGACAAAAATATTAATCCTTTCTCTGCAAAAATATCTAGATGCTGCCTTCCTCACAGAAAATGCTGTATCCAGTAGACATAAAACAAGCTATCATTCCTAGGTGGGAAAATAAAACGTCACTATTTGCTTTACATACACAAATGGTAAGTACATAAATTCATGTTTTGCAATATGCGCGAGAATAATAGCTGCTTTCTTTTCTTACAGAAAATAACACCTTCCAGTAGCTGGAGCTGGAGCTGACAGCTGTTAAATTATGTGCATTACCATCCACCAAACTCCAATACCTCAATTCCTTTATCTTTGTAACATTGCTGAAACATTGAGAAAACAATTATATCATTACCGATAACTGTGGAAGGCAAACCTGCCATAAGACAGGCTTTCAAAATGAATACAGGCGCATAGCCTGCAAAAAGCTTATTAACTTCTCAGTTTAAACCACTTAACTAAGCAATTTGCTCTCAGTATTTTTATTACTCTTCATATTAAGTGTAAAGATTATATAGGAAATACTTCAAGTACTACCATAACACTTCCCAGAAGCAGCTCCTGATTACGGCTGTAGCGCACTGATATTGCCATCCTGCAGTAATGCTGTCACCACGCGCACTTCTCTGCACAAGCTCTGGAGTTCCCACACAGCCAGGGATGTTATTGGGTTAGCACTGATCACATCAATCAGAAATAAGATTTAAAGAGGGATGGGAAGATTTAGAAAGATGGTTGGGGGTCATCGTGCTCCTCCCTGCACCTCTCCCACCCAAACAGGAGCTCAGGAGGTTTCTGAAGAGGTGGCAGACAATGCTGAGCATGCTGCCGGAGGAAGAGTGGATCCACCTGAGGATCTCCTGTGAAAACAGGCTTGAGTGTGCATATATTGTCCAGGGGGAAGAAAAGCTTCTTTTCTCTGCATCCCTAACCCACTGCCAGGTACACTCTTGTTTTATATCTGAAATATTGTATGTGATAAAATACATTTATGCATGTTTAAAATATTTCAATATTTTTAAGATACATAAACAAACAACAGGCTGTCGCTCTGCTGCACAGAACACCTCCCTCACCATTGCGCCTGTCCTTAAAAACACGCTTCGAACAATGCATCCTGTCTGGGAACACAGCTCGACTATTCCCCGTGGCATCCCAGGAGGAATGCATTAATACAATGGGGTTTCGCCCATGGCATTCTCATTTCCAAGAGCTGCTGAGCAGCACTCCAGTTGAGCATCAGGCGATTCTGGCAGGAGGAGAAGGCAGCTTACTGCAACGGATTGTTGAAACATCAAAATATGGAACAGATTCGAGTGGTTCAACATGTTTCACTACATAACAATATTCACTGCTAATTAATCAGTCTGGCAAATGAACCCAAACAGTAAGGACCTCTTCCAGCACACTCTCACTGAATCTCTGCATTACTGGCGTAATACAAGAAAACTTCCTGCGTCCTATACAGTTGCAAAATAAGTACTTTATAGGGCAAAGACCAATGTAAGAGGGGCTCTGCTGTCAACCGAATGGACACTACCTTCAGTCTAAGAAAGAAACAATTGACAGCAAGCCATTAAGAATGGCTTCCTAATTCTGAAATTAAGAATATATGTTAGGGGTTTAAACATCAGTAGCATTTTACTTCTTAACCTTTTCTACGAAACAACTGGTAGTTTAAACTACTACTGTAGCACCAAAATAGAGAGATTCAGCTTTACTGCAATGTATTTTTTGTTCTTTTCCAAGTTAGCTCTTCTGTTAACAGCTGTGACATACCTGAGTTACGCAGATTAATGGAATTTATTTCACAAATATCGTTGTGCGTAACTGAGTCTTAATGAGATGATGGATCAATTGCTCTTCTCTACTGATAGCTGTCTACACAGACCACACTAAATTCTTAAGATTAGCAGCCAATAAGAGAATTATACACGAACTGTGTTGGCAATTTCTTGTTTGAAAATAAACCAAGTATGTTGGGAGTGGCTGGCCCCTTCATTCCAGAAGTGGACGAACAGTTATGGAATAATCTATTACAATCGTCTGTAATTACACACGGTCTTTTCTTTTCTTTAAAAGTAATTTAGAGGATGAAATGCACTTTGCTATCAAGGTTCAGATCAAGCAAGAGATTTTCAGCTGAATGGAATGAAACCCTTACTTTAGAGAATGGTTTAAGCATCTCTGGGAGATGCATTAAAAAAAAAAAAGGTAAGTACTTAATTATTTATCTCCTACTGACCTGGTATCAGCTGAGGTGCCAACACCACTGTGGGAAGAGGCCTGGAGGCAGCAGCTGGCCTGGCTATAGCCATAGCTACTTGATTTGTCATTAACAGAGGTTTCTCATTTCCCTGGAAGAGTCTTGATTCCTCAGGATGTATCCACGCTGAATCCAGAGCAAATGCATTATTCAAGTATATCTGTCCAACATAAATAAATAAAGAACGTTAAGGTTTGAGACACAAAACTCAGAAATAAAAGTGAGAATAAAGTATCTTTAACAATATTACAATACAGATAGTATCTCAATTCAGGGACAAACTTGCAAAAATAGATTGATTTCTGCTCCATTAATGTTGCAGGCTGAGTTTAGCTGACCATCTAAAAAATTAACTGGCTTTTAACACAACTAATCAGCTAAAAAAAAGAATAGCTGAAGGCAATTGTCTCCCAGACACAGTTACTCTGGAGCAAGCCCATCTGCAATTCAGAGGCTTCAGCCGTCTTCTACATAGGAGAGATGGGGGTGAGGGAGGGAAGTGGGATAAAGTCACAAAGCTTTGTTTTAATTATTCAGCTAGGTAAATGTACAGATGCAGGTAACTGTAGGCAGGCAGAGGGCACAGGACCACGAGTGACACCCTGGCGCCGGGGACGTGGCAGCGCTCGCAGTGACGCTACCGCTGCCAGCACTGTACCGCAGCATCCCTTTTGGGGAAAAACAGTGGAAGTACCAGGAAGAAAGGAAAAATGGAAAACTCTCATAATCACATCCTACAGTAAAATTATAACATTCTACTGAATGTAATAAAGATAAGTATTAAAGATGTTTTAGTCTTTCTATACCTTCAGAAAAGTGAAGCCGCAGCTACTACTGCTGAAGTAGCCTCCTCCATTAACAGTCCCTTACAACATACCTCCTCCACAGGGTTTTGCCTGACAAACTACTGACCTTTCGCATGCCTTCGGAATTCACAAAACCCGTAACATTTTTCAGCTCATACACTTTAGCCTTAAAAATTCTTCAACATACCAAGATGAGACTTACTTTGCAGTTTGGTAGCCTTTTATCGATCCAGTTTTTCCCAGCCTGAGGGGGAACCGTAGATGTGTACACAGGTGGAAAAACAGGAACAAATTCCACGCTCGAAGAAGGTGAAAATCCTATGATTGGAGAATGAGCTCCAAATAGCCACTTAGGGGAAAAAAAACAGGAAGAAAAGTTAACAAAATGATTTTACCCTGAGTAAACTGATGCTTTTCATCATTTCCTAATTATATAAAAGATGAGTACAGAAAATTTCAAACATGTCTCTCCAGTCCAACAACCATTTGTGGGTTTTTAGGCATTACACAGTGAGCGACACGTGGCACCGACATTATAAACTGCTTTAGAAAGCCACAAAACAGTAGCCTGGCAGTAAAGCAGTACTTGGCTAATGGCTGCTAGTCGCCAGGGAAGCTTGGTTTTTCTCTGCTCAAACAGAATCTCACATACAAAACAAAAACATCACTAAAAAGTGTTTTTAAAATTCGTCTCAAAGCAAACAAGAACTAAAGGAATGTCAGAAATGTATTTCCTCTTAACTTAAATTCGTTTGGCAAATGGGTTCCCACAGTAAAACCACCTCTGCAGTTTATTTAAGTGGTCTCACACCGGGGAATAATTGATGTTACTGTTTCATTAGAGCCTGCACTACCTATTTTCTCCCTCCCACTCACTCTGCACCCAAAACCACAAGAGACACTCAAAAAGGCTGGAAATCTTCACATGAAATCAAGCGGCTACCACAGCGCTCAAATCTGTTTTATTTTTACTTCTATCTAGTAAAAAATATAAAGACAAGGCAAAACTATGAATACAGCTTCCGATATCTCCAGTGCAACAGGACAAACGCTCCAGCCGAAACACTTTACTATTTCAAGCAGCCTTACGGCAGCAATTATTAATTGAAATATTCATCAGGGAAAGCACTGATGAGACAGATGGGTTCAACTGACACGACTCAAAACTTTAGTCTTTATGAACATTCAAAAAAAAACCAAACCACTTGACACTACATATGACTGCACGAGCGTTGTTGGAGCATTTCTTCCTTTCTGGTCTCTATTTGCAGAAACGTATCCTGCAACCGGCGATTACCGGATGATGGAGACGAGCCACGCCGGAGAGACCGGCAGACCCTCGCCCAGCCCTTCTCTTCCCGGGGAAAACACCACTGCAGGTTTCTACACCCGGTGAAAGCTCCGCGCTCCGCGACACGCCGT